TTTGAAGATGGAAATCAATCTAAATTCTTAACGTGTTTAGATCCAAATCATTCTAATTTTCTTGTTTGCTATTATAATTATTCCAGCTAAATTTCAGGTCACGCATTACATTTTCAACAGCATTATTTAGATAATCAATTTAGGAGTCTGGGAACAATAAGGCATTCTGAAAATAGCATTTTGTGTCATTTTGAAGATGGAAATCAATCTAAATCCTTTACGTGTTTAAATCCAAATCATTCTAATTTTCTTGTTTGCTATGATTAGTATTCCTGCTAAATTTAAGGTCACTGATTTAATTTTCAACAAAATTATTGCGATAATCAATTTAGGAGTCTGGGAACAATTAAGCATTCTAAAAATAGCATTTTGAGGCATTTTGAAGATGGAAGTCAATTAAATCCTTTACGTGTGTAAATCCAAATCATTCTAATTTTCTTGTTTGCTATGACTAGTATTCCAGCTAAATTTTAGGTCACTGATTTCATTTTCAACAAAATTATTGAGATAATCAATTTAGGAGTCTGGGAACAATTAAACATTCTGAAAACAGCATTTTGAGGCATTTTTGAAATAGAAATTAATCTAAATCCTTTTCGTTTCTAAATACAAATCATTCTAATTTTCTTGTTTGCTATGACTAGTATTCCAGCTAAATTTTAGGTCACTGATTTCATTTTCAACAACATTATTGAGATAATCAATTTAGGAGTCTGGAAACAAATAATAATTCTTAAAATAGCATCTTGAGGCATTTTGAAGATTTAAATCAATCTAATTCCTTTACGTGTGTAAATCCAAAGCAATATAATTTTCTTGTTTGATATGATTAGTATTCCTGCTAAATTTAAGGTCACTGATTTCATTTTCAACAAAATTATTGAGATAATCAATTTAGGAGTCTGGGAACAATTAAGCATTCTAAAAATAGCATATTGCGGCATTTTGAAGATGGAAATCAATCTAAATTCTTTACGTGTGTAAATTCAAATCATTCTAATTTTCTTGTTTGCTATGATTAGTATTCCTGCTAAATTTAAGGTCACTGATTTCATTTTCAACAAAATTATTGAGATAATCAATTTAGGAGTCTGGGAACAATTAAGCATTCTAAAAATAGCATATTGCGGCATTTTGAAGATGGAAATCAATCTAAATTCTTTACGTGTGTAAATTCAAATCATTCTAATTTTCTTGTTTCCTATGATTAGTATTCCTGTTAAATTTCAGGTCACTGATTTCATTTCCAACAACATTATTGAGATAATCAATTTAGGAGTCTGGGAACAATAAGGCATTCTAAAAAAAGCAATTTGAGGCATTTTGAAGATGAAAATCAATCTAAATCCTTTATGTGTGTAGATCCAAATTATTCTGATTTTCTTGTTTGCTATTATTATTATTCCAGTTTAAATTTTAGGTCACTGATTTCATTTTCAACAACATTATTTAAATAATCAATTTAAGAGTCTGGAAACAATAAGGCATTCTAAATATAGCATTTTGCGTCATTTTGAAGATGGAAATCAATCTAAATCCTTTACGTGTTTAGATCCAAATCATTCTAATTTTCTTGTTTTCTATTATAATTATTCCAGCTAAATTTCAGGTCACTCATTTCATTTTCAACAGCATTATTTAGATAATCAATTTAGGAGTCTGGGAACAATAAGGCATTCTGAAAATAGCATTTTGCGTCATTTTGAAGATGGAAATCAATCTAAATCCTTTACGTGTTTAAATCGAAATCATTCTAATTTTCTTGTTTGCTATGATTAGTATTCCTGCTAAATTTAAGGTCACTGATTTATTTTTAAACAAAATTATTGAGATAATCAATTTAAGAGTCTGGGAACAATTAAGCATTCTAAAAATAGCATTTTGAGGCATTTTGAAGATGGAAGTCAATCTAAATCCTTTACGTGTGTAAATCCAAATTATTGTAATTTTCTTGTTTCCTATGATTAGTACTCCTGCTAAATTTCAGGTCACTAATTTCATTTTCAACAACATTATTGAGACAATCAATTTAGGAGTCTGAGAACAATTAAGCATTCTAAAAATAGCATTTTGAGGCATTTTGAAGATGGAAGTCAATCTAAATCCTTTACGTGTGTAAATCCAAATCATTGTAATTTTCTTGTTTCCTATGATTAGTACTCCTGCTAAATTTCAGGTCACTGATTTCATTTTCAACAACATTTATTGAGATAATCAATTTAGGAGTCTGGGAAGAATTAAGCATTCTAAACATAGCATTTTGAGACATTTTGAAGATGGAAATCAATCTAAATCCTTTACGTGTGTAAATCCAAATCATTCTAATTTTCTTGTTTGCTATGATTAGTATTCCTGCTAAATTTCAGGTCACTGATTTCATTTTCAACAACATTATTGAGATAATCAATTTAGGAGTCTGGGAACAATTAAGCATTCTAAAAATAGCATTTTGAGGCATTTTGAAGATGGAAATCAATTTAAATCCTTTATGTGTGTAGATCCAAATCATTCTGATTTTCGTGTTTGCTATTATTATTAGTCCAGCTAAATTTCAGGTCACTGATTTCATTTTCAACAAAACTATTGAGATAATCAATTTAAGAGTCTGGGAACAATAAGACATTCTAAAAATAGCAATTTGAGGCATTTTGAAGATGGAAATCAATCTAAATCCTTTGCGTGTGCAAATCCAAATCATTCTAATTTTCTTGTTTGCTATGATTAGTATTCGAGCTAAATTTCACGTCACTGATTTCATTTTCAACAAAATTATTGAGATAATCAATTTACGAGTCTGGGAACAATTAAGCATTCTAAAAACAGCATTTTGAGGCATTCTGAAGATGTTGATCGATAAAATTCTTTTTAGTGTGCTTTAATTATTATCCAAATGAAGTTTCTTGGTATTGCTTTTATTTTTAGTGGAGTTGTAGAAATAAGCGTGTTAGAGGTCTGGGAACGAGTACATGGTCCACATATAGCGTATAGGGGGCATTTTGACGGTGGATGTGAGTCTAAATCATATTACCGTGTTATTATTCCTATCTATACCAATTTGATGTCATTGATTTCATTTACAACAAATGTATAGAGATAATGAATTAAGAAGTCTGGGAACAACGAATCATTCAAAAAGAGCTCTTAAGGGCATTTCTCAGACTTGGTCCCGATCCCATCTTTTCAGCATGTCAAATTGTATGTTGTTATTGTTATTATTGTATCAATATTTAGGGATCATGGTGGAAAAAACCTTACATACGCTGAAAACTTAGAGAAAAATCTGAGAAGGCAAGCTCGAGAGTTAAGTTATTGTCTAGGATAAGACTGAACTTGACCCCTCCCGCAGCGGTAAGAATCATGATACTGCCATTGTTAATTTAATGCAACAATATTTTTACAGACTTCTTACCATCTAAGATCCAAATACGATCTTTAAAAGATCTTCTCCCCAACAATCCAGATATGTCTTTGTCTGGGAGATGAATAATACTCGTCTTCGAGAACCATGAACTAGTCCCCGTTTCGGGGTGATTGCTCATGCGTATTATCCTTTGAAGCCCTGGCGGGAAGCTCAGGAGCTGTCTGGTCACAGCATAGAGATAGGTCACAAGCAGAACAGCTCTGCAAATACTGTTATTAATGCGCATGTGCTATGACTCTGGGACACAGATAGGTTGTTTCGAAACAAAGTACCAGAGGCTTCATCTCCCAAACAAGTCTTGCAATACGGCCTTTGATGTTAAAATAGCCTTCAAGTATTAGTCAAGGGTTTTTAAAATAAACATTGGAGAGTAAGGTCCAAGGAATGTGTTTCTTTAAAACAGAAGATTTCTTTCTTCTGCTAGTGACAATTTTAATCTTTAGAAGCTTATTTGCGATTATGATTATTTGGGAAATTTTTAGCAATAAACTTTGATAAATGATGATGTAAACGTTGTAAACGACATGGCTTTCAAAACTAAAACAACTTTTATGAAACAATTAGTTTAAGGTTTAAAACCACTTAAACAAAACCTCAAACAACGGGCAACGTTTTGTAAGACTTGCTAAGATTAAAAAAATGACTTGTAAAACAGATTTCGTCAAACTCGACATGAAAGATTTACAAAAACATTGGCAAGATAGAGTTGAAGATATCCGACATTTTTAGCAATAAACTTTGATAAATAATGATGTTTAGTACTCCAGTTTTTTAATGTTCTGAAAATTTGACTACCCAATGTTTCTTAAGAGTTTTGTAATTATGATGTCATGAAGTTTGCTATGAAATGTTGATGACCTTTTTTAACAAGTCAAGAGATTCACTTTCGTTCTGGTGATGTATTTAGATGTGGGAAGTATATTTTTATCCCTTGCGTCTTGAGTTATAGGCCAACAGGGCAATCATGTTCTAGATTTTACAAAATTTCATGGTTCGCAGTTTTATCACGATTTAATATTTATTTAATTTTTTTGCTTTGAGTACAAAATTTTTTTAATTTTTTCTGACTGTCCAGTACTTGTTTCTTACAGCCAGTTTCTTATAAAAATATGAGTATATTCGCCAACAAAAAGTTATCTTGCAATTTTAGTATAACTTGCTGCTACTTCTGTTAGCTCCAGAATTTTGCAGCATTGCCCCCATTTCTGCTTCAGCCTGTGCAATACTTTTGTCCCGTAAGTGTGAAATCCTACTTTATAAGCTGTTTTATCCAAGAAAATTGTTTAACCAGGGCATAGCTTTAAAAATAGATACAGATGACCGGAATAACATAGCACCGATGTATTTAATAATTTTGGCTTATTCACATAAAAACTACAAATAAAGAGCTACATCCCTTTAAAAATAGACAGAGAACGTAGATTCAGTTTAAATTCTTTAAGAATAGATCGTAATATTTTTGCTAGAGTTTTCATTTTCTGTCAAGTTCTAAAGCGGCAACCAAAAAATCCAGAAGCATATTGATTGTTAATTGCATTTAATTAAAAATTTACAATCAAAGCTTTCTTATAATTTGAAGCAGCACCTTTCATTTCAAGTAACTTACGTTTTATTGAAAGATTCTTATTCGATTACGTTGACTTTAAACTTCTACTGTTTGAGGAGAAGTTCATTTTCCTCTTTGTTTAGAGCATGAAAATATCGCACAAAGAACATCAGAAGCATTCCCATAACAGCACATCCTCCAGCAATGAGAAAAACAAGTATATAGTTGCCAGTGAGTGTATACAAATAACCTACAAGAGAAATAAGAAAAGATAATAAAAGGAAGGAAACGATAAGAGAAAGATAAAAGGTACAATAGACCGAAGTAAGGCTTCACGTGAAACAGTCTTGCTACGATAATGGCAATATTCCCTTTGATATCTAAAATGTAACTTCACCACCCAGAACAAAATATGAACTTTCCTGAAAATGTGAATATATTTTTCACAGCAAAAAAACTTTTCACGACTTTCAGAAACACTAGCAATTTCTTTAAAAAATTATATTTTACTTGTTATATTTCACTATTTTATTAGTGTGAAAATTAAAGAGTCTTTAAAAAATGCAAACATATTGAGACATACTTCATCTTTTAGTCTAGCATTCATATGAATTTATAAGCCTTCAGAAGCCCGATCGTCCTAACATCCAGCATTTTCTACAATCTATCTGCATAAAAGATGAAATAGCCTCTGTTGTGTAAACCGAAAGAATTTGTTTTCACCCTAGAAATAGACTGGTAAAAATATTTTCAATAATTAAACGGAGCCAAATGGGCAAGCTCGACAGACATGTTCTTGCCTTTCTCATTGGCACGTTTTGATCCACAGCTGCATTTACGTATTCCAGCATTGCTTTAGCAAAGGGCATTTCAATAGTTAAATCTTTAAACATTGGATTGGTGAAATGTTTTTCCGTACGATAAAATATTGATAAAACTTTTGTACGTATTGCAGGCATTTTTGCTTACATAAATCTTTGTAGATATCACATTGTAAATGAAATTTGTTACTGAATGATAATGGTAGTTCCATCGTGACAAGCTCTATGATATGATCAAACGTTAGGTCTGATATTACAACGTATCACAAGTTGAAACATCAAATATAAAATATTTATTTAAACCACATCGTATAACATCATTTATCATATGATAAGATATAATTGTTTTATAAATTCTAAATAATATAATGTTTTGATGATTCCAACATCATTCTTTAATCCCAGCCAAGACCCCCAGAAATTTGTTCTTACCTGCAACTGGGGGGCCACAAAAGGTAGCGATCCCTGTAAAGAATTGAGTGATATTGTATCCACTTCTAAATTGGTGCGTTTCTACAATTTCTTTGACAACAATAAGGTTTGATGCAGTATGCAATCCTTGAGATAATCCAAAAGCAAAAGAGATTATGGCTAGGCCAGTAAACCCTTTTAGAAATGGCAAAAACATTATTACTCCCATAAAAGCGGACGAAATCTGACACAAAGCCAAATTGCTCGCCACTTTCATGGCTGACAGCTTGCCAAAAGCTATTTTGCCAAAGAACTGTGCGATCGAAGTTAGGCCTGGTAAGAATGTAGCTTCAGTGTAAGGCACTGCCCGGTCAAGAGCCAAACGTACCTGAAAAAGTAGTAGTTTCAAATAGACACATATAGGCATATAAAATTATTAGGCACATAGAAGTATACAATCTATGATTCAAGATTATTAGTAAACATATTAGTATTCAAAAACAATACTTTGATAGCAGATTAATCTTTTTTTTCGCTTTTCCTCTCTCTTCAGGATTTAGAATGTTTCTTCAGATTAACACATATGCTAAAAAATAATGCTAAAAAAATCTACTAAGGATCTAGAAGTTACGGAAAAAGAAACTTAGACTAGATTTAGCAAAGGAACTCCATATTTAAATCATAATGCAAAAAAAAGTTGATGGACAGCAGCGCTATGCAGTAAAATCGACAACTTCCATATTGCGTCAAAAGACAAAGCTCAATTGCATTCAATTTTGCCAACACCTGCAAAAAATTCATGAAGAAGGGGTACTATAACTTAATACTTACTATATGCACAAAGTTTATGTAAACTCCAAATTTGCAATACAATGTCGACAAAACATAAATCATAAATGCTTTGTTCTTGTGCAGCGGTAGGTTCTCAGGTTTAGATTCACTGTCTCTTCGCCTTTCATTCTCTTCACAAATCAATCCGTTGAACCAAAAGCTTTCCCCAGGCCTCTTAAATACCACCGACATTGCAATAATGAACAAGGCAACGACGCTGCACAGCCGCATTCCTCCACTAAAGCCATATTCTTTCAATACGAAGCCAACGATAGGCGCCAAGGCTAAGCCACCAACACTGTTCCCAGATATGACTATACTGTGGGCGAGTGGCAATGACTTCTTGAAGTACAATGGCAAAATTAGCAAAGACCCGTAATAACACAAACTCTGACCAAACGCAAAAACAACTCCAAGCGTCAAGTAGATGATGAGGATGTTTGAAGTGAATGATGACACCAGTAGGGCGACGCCTATCAATATGCCTCCAAGTAGCATTGAAAGGCGAAAGCCTATCCGATCCAAAATACCGACTGCGACAGTTGATAACATGAACAGCAAAGATGCCGGTAATGAACTCGCTAGTGCTTGAATAGAGAAGAGGAAGTTGAATATGAGTGGCATAAATTTTTACAGCTTCTTCAACATTGTTCACAACATACTAATTAAGAGGTCAATAATAATGTAGGCCCAACTATCATAAGCTTAGGCCCTGTAATCTGAGTCCAAACTTCAGCTGGGTAAGCTTAATTTGAATGTTGAAAACTCATAAAGGGCTAAGGAAAGTTTTCAGAAATGTATAATACCAAGATCATACTTCGCCAAAAATGCAGAAAAATTACCAGTGAATCACTGGTCAAACCAATTTTTATTCGGCTTTAGCCCCCCCCCCCCCCACATTTCTCAACGCTCCGCAGTGCCTGTCCTGACCTTTCATCTTCACGCATCCGGATCAAACATAACATTCGGTCATTTGTCAGAATAATCCCAAGGCTTAAAATGAACAGTGGCTTTTCATATTATGATCAGGGGATTGGTGACCGGGAGTGTGGGGAGTTTTACCCCCAATAGTATCTCAATAGAAAAATTCAGCCTAAATCCACTCAGTGTCACTCCAGTGATTTAGGTATTTCAGAGACCTTCATATCTTTAAATCAATAAAGGATCAAGCAAAGATAGTTGCTCCGTTGGTTGAATATGATATTCCTTGATATGAATGAAGTTAAATAAACTGATAATTTGAAGATTTGAAGATTTCTTGTTGGCATTAATTCCAAAAATCCAGGCCCTCTTTAGGCAAACCTTTGCCTTGTGTCGAGTTGCACCTAAACTCATCACCGCTAGCATTTCAAATAGGTAAACCTTTTTCTTGTGTCGAGTTGCACCTAAATTCATCACCGCTCGCATTTCAAAGTCTGATGTTAGACGAAGTCCCGCAATTGTGCGCGCTTTTCTACACGATGAAATTCAGAAAACTAAAACTATTATAAAACTAATAATTAAAACGTTTGTATGCACGCCAACTGTCCAAAATGCGTCCGTTTCTCGTGTTCTTTGACATTTTTAGACAATGCCGCTACATTTCTGAAATTGACCAGCGGACACTAAAACAAACCACTGAAAAATATAATAAGAATATTGACATGCTAGTTAGGAACGGTTTGGTGGATTGATATATGTTTCCAAAAAACATATTTTCAATTTATCGGACTTTTCTCTCTCTGAAAGCGAAAATTTGCCTTGGGTAATGGTCTTGAATTTTGTATCCCACTTTTGCAGCATTCAAAATTTTACACGCTCAACTTTCCAAGCACGATATTTCTGTTGGTTTGGAATTTAACAAATTAAAAGCTCGACTAAGCGATTTGGGTTATGCTTATAGTGGCTCTCCCATCGACCCACTCGGATTCTCTTTTGCATAAAGACCATTTTCAAGCTCTAAAATCTCTACGGTCTAACAATGGCATCTTCATTACAAAATCCTATATTGGGTCAGGTTGGTAATTTTAGACAAAAAGGATAACATCCAAAAAATGGAGAATATTCTCCTTGAGAAGCATAAGTTTGAAAAACTGGGTAATGTCGAAACACATGATAAAATGGCCTGGTTAGGGCTGAAACTTCAAAAACGTCCTTTGGAGCTTGTCAACTCAAAAGTATACAAAGTTTACGTCAAGATAAGACCCACAGGTTCACAATGACCATAATTCTTATGGCCTCCCTAAAATACATAAGCCGAATGTCCCACTTAGACCCATCTTGAATATGATTGGCTCAGCACAACAGGAACTGGCTAAGTGGGTTACCGAAGTTTTAGATCCTGTTCTTAAAAAACATTCAAAACATTGCATCAAAGATTCTTTTACTTTGCCGAGTTCATGCAAAACTTGAACATCAAAACGAAACACATTTCATGTGTTCTTTCGACATTAGTAGTCTTTTCACTAATGTCCCTTTGAGTGAACAATCAAAATATGTGCCGATGCTTTGTACCGGATCGAGCTTGATTTTGATTGATTTTTAATTGTTTATACAAGGTAATACATCCAGTAATGAAAAACTAATAACTGATTCATAATGTGCCCTGTCTAAAAACCTAAGCTAATCAACATACAATAGATAAACAAAAATTAATAGATACTCTGGTTAGAAAAGAAAAAATAACGAAATCTTAATGAACATAAGTTATATGTTCTCTCCACTTGCGTTATGAAACAATCTGAATCTCCAAATACTTATTTGATCCAATAATTTCTGGGTTGTCCTCGTTTATATTGATAAAAAATAGTAGTGGACCGAGGCACGATCCTTGCGGTACACCGCACGTTTGCTATTTTTGAAGTATGTCCATTTACTTTACAGCATTGCTTACGATCCTGTAAGTACGATTTAAACCAATCCAGCTCCTTTTCCTACACTCCATAATTAAAAAGCTTTTGAATGAGAATTGCTTGATCTACAGTATCAAAAGCTTTATTTCAAGCATAGTCATAAGAAAAAACTATAGTCTGGAAGCGAACAATAGCGCCTTTGTTCTTCACACGCGCAACTTGAGATGCACCGGACACGCCTTGCGAAAGTGCACAACAAAATCCAACATGGCGGAAGAAAGCTATAGTGACTTCGTAGCTGGTGATGATTTTGATCTGATAATGGAATTGATCGATGAAGGGATACTGGACGATGAAATATCTATTGGTGAAGAGGTTGAACAAGCTATTCTAGAGGTGAATTTCCTTAATTGCTTAAAAGGACTGTCATAAAATATCCGTTTGCCTTCCTTGCGTTAGGCCCTATTAGTAGGCCATACAGTCGACTACGCTTTAAGTAACTCCACTTGAAGTCACACTACTGGTTACAGTCACATAAAATTTAGACCCAAGTATGCAAAACTATTAAATAAAGTGGACCAGTCACAAGTTTACCAAGCCTATGAAGCGATTTGAAATTTGTAGTTGCACTCAGCCTTCGTCATTAAATCATTTTTTAATTGACGCAGGACTCTTTCATTTGATCATGATTTGATATCTGACTTGGCAGCAGGGAGTTTGGCAATTGAATTTAAGAGGAGAGTTTGTGACGCGAGGGAAAGCAAGTTAATTGTGTTTTTAAATGGCTACTACCACAAGTTTTTTAGGAACCTAGTGTTTCATGCTGATCACTCATTACAGTTTCAATAAGCATGTTTTTTTTTCAGGCTGAAACCATAAAAGATGGGTTCAAATGTGAGCAGTGCTTGAAAGTTTGCAATTCTAAACGCGGACTTTCAAGGCATGTTAATTCGAAACATGAGCAACAAAAATGTGATGTGAATGATAAGGTCAAAGATTCACCTACAATACACAATTTGCAACTGAAAGGCATAATTGAGAAAGCTGCTCATAAGCTTAGTCAGGATGAATGTTTCAGTCTCTTGGAACGTGATAAATTTGCCAAATTCTCAATAACAGTTGAAGAATGCCTATTGATCTGGGACAAAATCATCCCAATTGTTAAAAATTTTAATGGGAATGATGAAAAATTCCTCAGTAACTTTTTCAAGCTAATGCTACCAAAGCAGCAAATTTTCAGTGGGCTACCAGTCCTCCACTCAAATTTGCTGTGTTCAGAGATGGCTAGCTTATGTCTGAAGTTTTTGATTCAGCCAAAGGATGCTGGTCAGCAAGGGAAAGAAGAGAGGTTATTTTCTTTTTCTGAAAAAGAATTGCATGGTCTGCAATATCTTGCTGGATATTGTTGTCGTACAATTTACTGTAGATTGCGACGGTCCCATTCTTGGAGGTCTTTAGCCACCCAACAATCTTTGGCAATTTTGATGGCTGCAAAATGTATAGAGGATGATACCCAGAAACTTGTCAACATTAGGGACCGTGGTGCACTATGGCGAGTAAACAAAAAGGCACAGAAGATTTTCATGGTTTGCGAGCAATATTTTTGCACAATAACATCAAAATCAAAGACATGCATAGACAGTACATTAATGGTTAAAAAAGTAATGCAGGATAACATTGTCCAATCAAACTTTAAAGATATATGCAGATCTGCTGATATTGTTGTTGACAAGGAAGTGAGCAAAAACTTGCTTGAATGTCTAGTCCTACTGTATGTGAGGGTTAGGGCACATTCTCATGCAAAGTCATTGAAAGAAAAACACAAGGCAGCTAAACAAAGAACAAAGCAAAGATCTTTACGCACAGGAATTAAACAGTCTAGCTCAAGCACTGACATGGGACATTGAGATAAATTTTGTGTGAACTCTGTAACATAACTTATTAAAACTAAAAATAAGGTCCATATAAAGCTTCCATACAAATAATTTGATAAATGTGTTGCATCACAAGCATTAATTAGATGTTTTATTCTCTATGGTTTTAATAAAAAAACCCAAATCAGTACCTGCTTCTTACGGCTCTGAAAGTATCAAAATTTATTTCCCTTAAAAATTGATCTTTTTAAAAATTTTGATGAAAGCTTCATTTTTGCGTTCATGATGATACTGCAGCTTTTTTCACTTTTGCATTTTGCCATGTAACCTTTGAACTGGAGAGACTTGTACTAAAGAATACTGATACATCAAGTCTAAATAGAAAGGTGACAAGCAAATTAAGTGGAATGAGATAGAAATGAGGGAATCTGGGGGGGGGGAAGGCAGCAACAAGGAAATTTTTTGAGTGGCAAAGAACACTTCTAGCGACCTAATGTTATTGGTGCTAAGCACATAATTTGATTATTTTGTAGTTGTTTAATAAGGTGTATCCAGGAAAGAAAGGAAAGAGAACATAATTATTTTCAACTGGAAGATTCATTCTGTTATCTATTTTAGAAGATAACATATTTATAAGAAGAACAAGGCTAAATATACCCCTGCAGCAGTTCTTAGATATGATGCCTTAGGGTCAAATTCAAGTTAGCATTCTTGTCTTGTTCATTCGCACATAACAAATATATTGTCTCTTTATGTTCACAGCCCAGGTTTGATAAGACTTGCTTTTCCTTAGTCATAAAGTATTAAACTCCTTTGTAGCTATAACCCTTGTAATAAGTTGTATTCTTTAAATAAAATTGAGTTGAACAAATTATGTAAAATAATTATCAGCATTCTGTTTTCAAAATAGCAATCAGTTCTTCTGTTTACCTTTCTATGACACAGTATATTGTGGTACATTAACAATTTCAAATAAATCAGCTCAACTTTTTTAAACATTATACACTGAAATGAAAAGCATAGTTCAGTTAGGTCTTCTTTCGCTTGGGCAGTGGAGTTTCTTCAATATTGTTCCATTTGTTTACAGCTTTCACATTACCCAAGGGGGCAACAGAAAACTGTGACTTAATGACATTGTCATTGTACCCCACATCACGGACTGATGGGTTGTCCCTTCTAGACCCAATTGCTCGTTGACGTCCAAAATAATTTTCCAGATCATCTTGGTTAAAATTCTCTGTAAGAATATACTTCACTCCTTTATTGAGAAGGTATTTTGTGCATTCAACTAATGAGTGACATGTGATCTGGAGACCTTCATATGTTTGCCATGAAAGAAACATCTTTGCCTTTGCAACAGCATCAAAGTTTCCTACTCGATTTTCAACAGAGCTCTTCCAATTTGCAAGGTAACCAAGAAACTCTTCTTGTAGCCACGAAAATCTTTCATCCTCTACTGAGGAGTATGGCTTCAGGAATTCTTTCCTTTTCAATTTATGTTCAATAGTATTACGGACATTTAAACAGTCAAAGAAGTGATCCATCATCATACAGAACTTTGCTGTTTGCTGACACTCAGGCCCACCATAATTTTGGAGAACAGAACTGACAGTTGAGCTTAGAACCTGTGCAGCTAACCCCACTCGCATTACTGAGTATGATGTGAGATTGATATGATCATTAGTCAAACCTGGTAGCAGCCTGAGCCCACAATTGGCATCTTCATAATAGAGTTTTGATATGTGGTTCCATAATAAAAAGGCACCATCATTCCACATTAATCTGCTATTTCTACCTGCTCCTGAGTTGGCAAGACAATTTCTGGCAGTTTTAATCAAATGTGGAGCATCACAGAAGAACCAGATGAAACGTTGTTCACTTGCATAGAGGTTGACTGCCCTGTAAACAACATCTTTGCCTGCATCATCTGTAAAGGCTGTGTGCATTCTATAAAAAGCTCTGTTTTGGGATGCACCATCAGATACAGTAGCTATGACTTTCAGGTTGCATGTCATTTCTAGAATAGCCACTGCCCTCCAGAAAATTAAAAATAGCTGCGATGAATTAACACCAGTCGTTGCAAAGGTCGCAAACGAATACGAAAGGGGATTCACAACACTCCTAATAAGGAACACAAGGACATGTGTTGCGATGTCATCAACCTTTTTCAATGCAGCATAATTTAGATCAGTGTCACCCAGATCAACAAAACCAATCAACTCATTAGTGTTTTTGTCCCACACAAGATCCTCTTGAACCTTCATCTCATCAAATGAGATAACAACATACCTTTCCTCTGGAGTGAAACTTTTTGTTTTCTCTGACAGATCCTTAATGGTTTCTGTATTAAAGCCTCTATTGGGCCTAATATAGTTTCTATAATCACGTAGTGTCCTTTGGCTTGGAAGGACAAGAACACCAGTTCCTTCCTTCTCATTGTACCGCAAATGTTGATAGGCAGCTGGAGACTTGGCATACAGTCCAAGACAAAACTTGATGACCATTGGGTGATACCTGGCTTGAGATGGTGATGACTGAAGATATTTCATTTGCTCCTCCCAAAATAACTTCATGAACGGTGATATCCTCCTCTTGTCACATTGGTTGAAAATGTCCTGTAAATCTTTATCTAGATGCTTTTGAACAGGCACTGATGCTTTCTCTAGTTGCTGTTTGACAATCTCAATTTCAGTTTTAAGATCAGCATTTTCATTCCTTAGCTGCTGCATTGTCAATTTGAGTCTTTGTGGATTGGTTACGGTGACTGGGGCATTTAACTTAGCAGGAATAAGTGATGCTTCTTTTGCTCTTTCTTTTCTCACTTCACACTTTGTCTGTTGCTCACAAAAAAGACACATATTCCTGTCATTGTCGGTTATCAGTAGCTCACAATTTATGCTTCTTTTTACCTCATCCTGACATAACCTGACACCTTCTTCATTTGAAAACATGTCAAAATGCTTTGGTAAAACATGCTTTACTGTTGATGACAAATGCATAGAAAGCTGCTCAATCCCTTGGCAAAAATCATGTCCCTCAAGAAGCAGCATCAATCTTGATAATGTAAGATGTCTAACTGAGCGCAAGTTCTCTTTGTATATGAGATGATCATCAGGTAACAGCCATCCATGGACTCTTACAGTAAAAGACAAACTTGAATCAATAAAAATTTCAAACATTGGCAAAATATATGTCTTGTGATGTTTGCAAATCTTGACACTCTCAGGTGATATTGTAAATTCCCAGCCTTGTGCCTTTAGGCAAGAGATAGCTGTCTCAACATCATCAAGGTTGTTGTAGTACACCTTCCTCTGAACAACTGGTGGTTCTGAAGAAACAACACTCCGTTTTCTGATAGCTTCACTATTTCTTTGCTCAGATTTTTTCGTTTGCACTGACTTTTCTGGTAGGAAAAGTGTTGGCAATGCACCATCCTTAAGTGATTTTCGTGAAGAATCTATGGTCAAAAGAGAAAAACCCTAATGTAATATTTTGTACAAAAGAAACAGTTATTTCAAGTAAAACCTCCAACCAGGAGGGATTTTACTAGGGTTCTAAAAACCAGGAGGACAAATCACAAAGCTAAAGTTTGCATTTGCATTATTTTGTGATATTAGAACTACTGCTTTTAAGAATAATAGTTCCCAAATCCCCATGTCTCCCCCACTTTTCAAAAATTCAAGTATACCCCTTTACAGCTAACAGGGTTGCCAACCGCGTAACCAAAAAGGAACCCTCGAAATGCCTAGATGCCAAACGAAATGATCAACAAGAGCAATGGGTAGCCTTTGGGAGCCTTGATCAAAAATTTTCCATGCGGTCTGCTTTAGAAACATCAAAACAACTCACAACTAAGCCGGAAAATGATAGGTAAACAAATTTTTAACCTCTCTGGAACTTAATCAAAGCTTTGTTCGGATGTCCCTTAAACAACTTCCTCCCCCAGCTTTTATAATCCTTCCTACGTCCTTTATAGAGAGAGGAAGCCGTTCTTCCATGGCATGGGCCTAAGTAGTGACACTCAGCGTTTACAAGCCAACATTTTTGTATAATATATATTATGTATTCTTATCATAGTTAGATGGTAGAATTTCCTTATCAGTAACTTACATATATAGAGTTTATCCTTCTCAAAATGTCTTTCGCAGATATGAAGTCTGTCTTCTTTTATTTGGCGGCGAAAATCTGCATCGAGAACCCTGTCCCGTGTGATTTTTGATAACAGTTCATCTCTCCATTTTGACGTGAATTTGTCTTTGGCTGCAGGCAGCTTGAATAAACTGATTCCTTTGTCGCGTCTTGATGTACCACATCCAAAAACAGAACAATTGGCACCAGGCATCTTTCAAACACGAAGTTAATTATGAAGGATAGATATTTCTAGACCTTTGTGAAGTGACCGCGCAAATAGTGTGCACTTTAAAAGGTCTGGGGCCGAGTGATTGTTTGAACAAAAAGTTAAAACAAAGACCCATTGTTCGCTTCCAGACTATAGTTTTTTCTTATGACTATGTTTCAAGTCAATAAATACTACACATGAAAGGAGACCTTTGTCAAAATTATGGTACCAGTCATCACTACTTTTCAATAAGCATGTCAAAACTGAGTGCAGGGCCCAGAAGCCGGATTGATGTGAGTAGAACAACTTATCATCCTCGAAGTATGCGTAAAGTTGGTCGAAGATTGCCTTTCAAAAGGACGTGAAGCAACCGGGAGCACAGATATAGGTCTGTAGTTTGACCTGTTTTCAGTAGACCCTTCTTTATAGATAGGAGCTACTCTAACAACTTTCTAGTTTTTGGAAATAAGCCCTCCGAAAACCTTTTTATTAAAAATATGCGAGAACAGGCATCCATACTTTAAGAAACTAGCTGCAGAGGCCATCTATCCCGAAGCTCTTTGATACCTTAAAATTTTGCATCAAGAAAAAATGATATATAGCATGCACAGTTTTTCTATTTAGTTTAAGTAAACATGTTTTTCTTGTGTCACATCGTGTCATTTCACCAAAGGCTCTCTTTTACGCCAATATAAGCAGGTCTAGTATTACCCGGGCAAAAACACATCTACTAAGGAAATCGTTTACATTTAAAACATCTTTTGTCTAGTTTTGAAAACATCATCAAAAAAGTAACTTCCGGGAAAAAATTTTTTGTCGCGTCTTGGATTTGAAATCTTCATAGATGATTTAGTGGGATAGTGTAATAGAATTTGATGTTAGGCAGTTTGCTAGTTTTTTCTACAAAATTCCCTGTCTAAAAGGATTGCGTTCCTACCACCCAAAAGAGTTCCGTTAACTATGAATTTACGTGCCAGTGTGATTATTTGCAAAGCCCGATCCTCGTTCCATCTAGAAGTTTTTGGAATCTATCCACATCAGCATGAAAAACCGCTATTGTGTAGACAGAAGGAGTTCGCTTTCATCTTTTGATTAAAACTCTATTGACAAAATTTTCAATGTGCTTTCATCTGTGTAATGGTTTTATCTAGTGTCGGAGCGTCTTGATTAATCTTTACGTTAATGCGGTTTGAATAAAATGTTTTTCATCAGTTTTTCAGAGTTTCAACCGTAATGAGAAATTGAGTTGAATGTGTCAGAAGCAATTAGAGTCCTGTCGTTATAAGCATAAGCTATAAAAGTAAAGCAATAATCAATAAATATACATTTTGGTTACTACAAATTAGGGTTAACAGTGAGAGATTACATTAAGATCAAGCCAACGCATTACACCTTGCATACGAAGTCTCTTGAAACTTGTGTGACTATTCCTATGCAAAGAAAACTCCCGGGGTCTACCCTTTGTTCAGCAGCAGATAATAGGGGAATAGAGGTTGGTGAAAGACCCCCTAAGTGTTGGCAATCAGTGGGTTCCAGACAAAACTATAACTGTGAAAAGACGGTCGTTTTACAGCTCTATGACCAGATGTAGGTAACAGGAGTGGCGGCATGGGGGGGGCAAGTGGGGGCTTTAGCCCCCCCCTAGATTTTTGTTAACCCCCCCCCCCCCCCCGTCGCGGCAAGCCGAATCAAATTTTTGCTTTCTCTCATTACCGTCCGGCACTTGCGAATGGAGTGCTCATGCCTCCGGTTTAAACTGTTGTTTGATATGACATAAATATCGAGGGAGAAAACCTGCCACTGGCGGTTTTACTGGTTTTCTCAAATGGGCTTTTCTTCGGCACTCAATTTTATTATATCAAATCAAGTGGCAGTATAGCATTTCCCTGGTCGCTGTCCGTGAAACAGCTGTGACTTAATTTTCATGGTGCTCCGCTCGCATGACTCCACAATATCACATGGTGCCTCTGCAGTTGAATCCTCGTTTGCTGCTGGAATTCATGCGAAACGTGCAGAGATGCTTAATTTGAATCACGTTTTGGACCGTTTCAAGGCAATTTACCCTAACAACAGCAAAATCACGCTGTCATAAATAAAGTCTTTAATGGATTTTAGGGATTCTCTGTTCGTTTCAAGACATTATTATTGCCAATGAAAACATTTCGATCATGAGCACATTTTGCGTAATAAATTTTTCAATAGGCATTTCTTGTCCTTTTTCATAAACTATTTTTCAATAGCATTGTTCACCGTATAGCTTGCGACAAACAAATGGTTTAGAGAAAACCATCGATTAACTTCTTCCACCATAGATAGGAAGAAATATTCAACAATAGGCAATATTTGCGCATTAAGTTTCTTACAAGGCACAAATTGCCGAGAAAATCTCGTGGACTCCGACACAGGTTGGATAGTGGGGGGCGGGGAGAGGTCAAGGGAGAATTTTGCATCCACAACAAAAGATTTTGGAAAAATGCTCTTTTGCCTTGTAAAAAAGTGGGGGCCATGACCCCTCGGTGCCCCTTCATTGGAGGTGCTGCTCAGGGACGTCGCGACTGGGGGGTTGTCACACCCACCCCAATAGTATCTCAATAGGAAATTTCAGGTAAAATCCGCTCGGTGGAAGAAACGCTTTAGGTATTTCAGAGACCTTCCTGTCATAAAATCAATGAAGGATCAAGCTATCTTGGGTAAAATTGTGCCTCGTGTCCATTTCTCCTAAAGTTTCTCAGTAGAAGCGTCAACTGCAATTCACTATGAGCTCCAGATTTTCCTTAACATTCAAAAGGCATGCTAAGATGGAAAGAGGGATCTAAATTTAGAAGTAGCTGACAACCTGGTATTTTTCAAGACCACGGCGAAATTGTTGTTTTTATCTGCTGTAAAAAAGTTTTCCAAAAGGACAATAATTTTCAATAGGATTAGGAGGATTACTTTAGTGAAATCTGCTTAAAAGAGTGCATTTTCCAGGGAACTAGAAGCATCACAATTCGAAAATTCCCTGTCCCTTCGGCGGCAACCATGGTGCCGCCTCAGGTAGTAACTATATATTTTCCCCGTCCCGATATAGAGATTTGACAAGACTATTAGAAAAGTTGGTTATTATCATACAGAGTTAGATTGACAAAATGTATTGCAGAGGTTTGTGACACCAGCTAAAAAGTTTCAGGCAATAATTTTTTAAAGTGTGAGATGGAAGAACCGCAGGATAGGCTGTCCGCCGGATTCTGTGAATCTTGAAATGAGATTTAAAATGAAAGGTATACAGGAACAAAGCAATACGACGACGAGAATCCAATGTCACGAAATAAATTTTCAAAATAAAATAAATTTAAGAGTATACTGTACTTTACTATAGTATACTCTTAAATTTAATTTATTTTGAAAATTTATTTCGTGACATTGGATTCTCGTCGTTGTATTGCTTTGTTCCTGTATACCAATAATTTTTTAATCAGGTAAATTTGCATTACACCCCCCCCCAACGAGGCTTGCCTCGCAACCGCCCTGCCTGTCGGCAATTTGACACATTCAGCGTCGGCAGTTACGGAGAATATAAACTTCGGCAATTTAGAGGTTTGTCTCTAGCGCCACCCCTGGTAGGTAGAAGAGAATGTTGTTCTATCGATCAGTGTGAAAAATTTGCCAAAGAGTCAAGACAGATAATTGAAAGAGCTAGTCCTATCCAATATGTGTATCTCTCTTTTTGGTCGTCCTGCAACTCTGCGAAAAACATAGAGGAGTGGCAGGTAAGGACTCTCGGAAAAGCTAAACTGTAAAATTCCGAATGTTTTCCCCCCGACAAGAAGCCCGATGCTTTTAGTTAGAATTTATCATAAAATCACAATTTTATCCTTTCAAAACGAATACACGTCAACGTCATTACTTAAACAGAATACAAGGACAACGAATTCTATTCTAAAAATACTTAAGTGTATTTCTTAGATTTAGTTTGAAATGTTTTCACCTAGATCATATATACAGGGTTATCTTGGTTCCTTCTTATTGAGTCTCCTGGGGCTATTCTAGCGTCACCAGATTGCAAGTTTTGAGGCTTCAAAATATTTAGCTCTCTGTTAAAAGGGGGCTGTTTCAGGCATGTCAGGATACAAAAGGGAGCGTCCTAGCTACTTGGTAAATGAAGAAAGTAAGGTTATTTGATAAAACAAAGAAAACAGGTAGAAATTCGGTCCTATGTCATTCTATCTAATCAGAAGTTTCGTTTCCTTTATATAGTTTTGAAATTGCTACGAAAACCCTAGATTTCTGGGACAAATATCTTTTTAGTAAAAGTTATCGAAGAAAGCCCCACCTTCCTATGCGCGATTCAAGTCAGTTGAAAGAAAGATGTTGCTCACCTATCGAAGCATTGCTCGCGTCAAATTCTTTCTGCATTGATACATAAATGGACCCAAATGTACGGTTGAAGCCATATCCTGTAAATTGAATCAAAAAAGCAAATCCACAAACAAGATAACGGAATTTACTACTTTCAACTTCTTCTTCTTCAACTCTGTTCATCTTTTTGTGAAAATAATTCCAATAAGACTTGATCAATACAAAATTCTCCAGGCACTCGATCCAGACAGGACGAAAAAATATTACCATCCAAATAAGGCCAGATCAGTCACGCAACAGTTACTACTGTCTTTGCTCTTTTTGGATATAACGCACCACTATGCTCATCCTGAATCTAAAGCCTCACGCTCCGTGAGCATTATAATCTGGTACCGATTCTCAGTAACTATTGAACAAGGGGCATCTCTGGGAGAAACCTGGACCCATTTGATACGGGGCATTTTGACCATGGTGATTGCGAATCTGGCTGATTCCAAGCGAATTGTCCAATTTCAGGTGCGTATTTAGAATTGCGCTTTAGATTGTAGAAATCTAAAGTCTACAAAATTCTTCAAAGAACGCCACTGGAACAGCATTTGACTATTCTCTTTTGACAATATGACGTCGTTATGGTTTCATAATCGAGAAAATTCACATTATATGTTTAGAATTGGCAATATCTAAGTTTTACTTTGATCTTTAACTTTGATGTCTCTAAAATTCACCAAAAAGCATCCAAAAGATAGAGTAACAAAATAATTTCAATCCATACTCATTAGTGAAATGGCTGATTAATGACCTTTTAACTATTGTTTCATTGCTTTACTTGAACTTTAATTTATTAATGCAAATACTTTAAAATGACTTCCATCAATAGCTCATGCTGAACTAGGGGGCCTTAATCTAAACAGCAAGCTCTAGGTTTAAGAAGACACGCGCAATGGCAATCGATTTACGACAGTTCTTAATTTCATGGACGCTTTAAAATGGACAGAAGGCCGGCAGGATTACATTCATGAAGATGAGCTTCACAGCACGTTTGCTACAAAGGTGAGGCCTTATAAGGGGTGTTTGAAATATGAAATAATTGAGATCTTCGGAATGAAAATATAAATATCAATTAGTTAAGCTAGAAATGTGACAGGGTTTATGTCAAAGGCAACAGCCCATCCTCTCATAAGTATTAAATGTGTAGGATTTGTCTCTCAAATCCTAAAGATATCTGTCTCGACTTCATTAACAAGTTTTAACGACCCATCCAATTTTCGACAGCAGGTACTATTTGGCTATAGATGAAAAGTTTCGGTTGAAATTGGAGGGATCGCGTAGAGTGTTTCTTGACACCAAAGGTAACACATTTGTCAATCCTGACAATGAAGTTTGCTCATTGGCACCATCTGGTAAAGCAGTGGTGAAGAGTTGGTTCTCCTTTTCTCAACTGGTAACAACAGCAGCATCATCAGCAAACTTAAACCAGTGTACTGGCTGAGACATGCGGTCATTACCATCATGGGGGAGAAACCAAGCTGCTTATATTTATCTGATTTGATGTATTGTATGAACGTGTTGAAGTAAAGGTTGAAAAGAAGGGGGCTGAGGTAGTCACCTTGCAATACGCCGCGGCGAACGGGAATTGCAGAGGTTTGGAATTTATCGGTTTTGATACAGGTCTCAAAGTCTAGATATAAGCTAGAGATCAATGATTTAATTTCCGAAGGTAGATGATGATAAGCAAGAATAGCTGGTATCAGCTTGTGGTGAACTTCGCCAAAGGCGTTTTTGAGATCCAGCAAAGATACCACTAAAAATCGTTGCTTAATGCGAGCTTTATTTATTAAATGGCTCATCATTGCTGTATGCTCTAATGTACCTGATACTTTTGAGGTGAAGCCTTTTTGGATTTGGTGCTCGATAAAGCCATTGTAAGATGGAGTCACGTAAGCAACAAGTGAATATTTTTAAGGGCACTGATTCTAAAGTGATTGGTCTGAAATTTGATGGATCATCTGTGCTGTCTTTTTTGTGAATCAAGATAGTGGAGGCTTTTTTCCATTCAGATCAGGAGCGCATCCAGACTATAGCAACTGTAGCTCGAGCTATAGTCAAAATCTCCGTGTTTGATTTTCGGAATTCAAAGTTAAGTGTTAATTCTTCCTCTGCTATCAAGCCTCTCAACATTTGAATTGAAAGCAGCAGTATAGGTTATCAAATGCGATTAACAAACATGCAATGCTGGCAATGTGTCATCACAATGCCTCTCCAGATAAGATATAAAACATTGAGCGCAGAATGGTCTAATATCAAAACTTAGACGAATCAGAAGTTTCGTTCTTTGTTGACAGTAACCAACCAGACTTGAGCTACAGTGGATATTCCGAGCTATAGTCGGTCTGGGGATTTGCTCTGGAAAAGGCATCGAAGACAATGAAACCCGTACTATAATTTTTGGCGAGAGCATGGCCTTTTAACCAATAGAATATGAGCATCCACGGTACTTCTCCGCTCTCTGTCCCCTGTAAAGCAACAGTGGACTATAGCTCGTTTTTACATCCTAGGTCCCCTGTAACGTAGCTTCAAAGGCAGGGACGGCGGAACGACCAAGCGGCAAGAGGGGGGGGGCAGGCTTGATTAAAAGGGTTTTTGAAGGATAATTCCCAGCTTTTACAAATTCATATATAACTGCAATTTTATTATTTGTAGGTATCCTCAACATTGGCTAACTTTCGGCATAAGGAATTATTTTACATGTTTTGAGAATTTCAGAAATTCATATGAATCTCTCTGATTATTACAATTGGCCAGTTTCAAGGGAACTTTATTAAAAACAACCCTTGCCCTTTCTGTCAAAGGGCAACAGGGGCGGTTGTCCCCCCCCCCCACACCCCCTTCTCTAGCGTCTCTGGAAATAGAAAAAGGATGTTTGAAGGAATATTTATGAATACGAAGCAACTATAAACACACATGGTTATATCATTTGCCCATATAATGGGCGTGTCCCACAAGCAAGGAGGGCGTGGTCCCGATCACAAAAGATTTGAGCTATAGTCACCAAAAATCCTGTTTTCGCCCCTGCCGGATGGTACCTTACCTGGAAGCCAGACAACACTAATAATTTCAGTAGAAATTATAGATAACGCATTTCAGTAAAAGATAACACGAATTATTTCAGTAAGAAAAGAACGAAGATAGGGTCTTCGTTTGAAACAGTTGATGGATATTTTATCAGAATAATTTCTAGATCCGCCCCTGGAAGTAATGGTTTTGTAACGAGGTGACTCTAGATCAAATGGATAAGAAGGTTCATTGAAAGTAGGGATCCAGGAAGAAATGGTGAAATGTTTGTTAGGAGCGATGGCAGAAAATGTTTTGCAACAGAGGTACATCCTGCAACAGAAAAAGTTGGAAGAGCTTAAGTTTCATATTGTCGAGTATTCCAGTAATTGCGTTTGACGTAATAATAATAGTAATATTATAATGATAATAATAATAATAATAATAGTAAAAATAATAATAAGTAATTTGTTTAAAGTTGGCTTACGAAATGAGCGTCTAATAGCTATAGCTTATTAAGGCCAACTGTCTATGAAGAGTTAGTATAAAATTAATATATTGTACAATGTTAAAAATGTTTAAGGTATAATATTCTGAATAAAACCTAACCCAGCAATGAATATTTTACATAATCTACAGTCGCATTCTACAGGGTGTGCTCTTAATTCTTTTTTAAATGTTGCTAATGATTGGGATTCTCTTATACTGTGAGCTAGTGTTTGCCACAGTTTTTGACCTAAATATCTCACAGTTTCTATACTATAAGAAGTTGTTCTGGCTTTTGGAATGCAAAGAGTATTTTTAGTTCGCGAATCGTAGAGTACATTTCTTGTCTCAAAAATCTCACTCATGACACTAGGGTTCAGGTTATATTTGGTTTTGTATATTTCTATCATCAAGTACTGTAGATTGCGTTGGTGAATCGATACTGCATTATCCAATGTCAGCAATGCTTCGTACTCAGCATGACTGTCTTTATAAACAATTCTGAGTGCTCTTTCGTGGATTTTATTCACTTTAGCATTCAGACATCTGTCATGGAACATCCAAATTAAGGGGCAGTAGCTAAACTGACCTTTTATGAAGCTGTTCATTAGGAGACGCAGTTTATCAGAACCCATAAATGTCACTATTCTAGCAAGGGCATGCAGTTTTTGGCTGGCTCTTTTGCATAAATTTGAGACGTGACTTTTAAAATTATGATTTTTATCTATTATCACTTCTAGCAGTTTTTCTTCAGAGCTTTCTTCAACATTGGCCTCGCCGATTAGTGGCTTTTTTGCATAAATTTGAGACTTGACTTTTTAAATTAAGATTTTTATCTATTATCACTTCTAGCAGTTTTCCTTCAGAGCTTTCTTCAACATTGGCCTCGCCGATTGCTGGCTCTTTTGCATAAATTTGAGACGTGACTTTTGAAATTAAGATTTATTATCACCCCTAGCAGTTTTTCTTCAGAGCTTTCTTCAACATTGGCCTCGCCGATTGCTGGCTCTTTTGCATAAATTTGAGACGTGACTTTTGAAATTAAGATTTTTATCTATTACCACCCCTAGCAGTTTTCCTTCAGAGCTTTCTTCAACAATGGCCTCGCCAATTTTGATCTTAATATCATCTTGGTTTAGTCTACCGCAAGTTTTTTGGCTTATATTATCTCAACGAAATAGCCAAGAACATCAAATAAAATCATGAAAATGTGTTTATCTACATTTCATGTTCACATATACTTAATAGGAATTCTTCCTAAGACTACTAAACCACTGTTGTCTAAGCCATTTAAGATGAAGGATTGATTTGCTGGTGAGTGGTGATAATGTTCAGAAAGATATTGTTCGTTCTTCAATTTTTTATCTGGAGCTAACATGTTCACCAAAAAATTGTTTTTATCTTGAAAATGTTGTTTCCGACCATATCTTTGATTTCAGTATGGCGCCAATAAATAATGCTAAAAGTGATTATAAAGTAAACAAAAAGATCAAACTATATGGCAGTATTATGAAAAGCCACGAACATGTAACAGTGAAGAGAATTTGGTCCACTCCAACTGTTTTTTCAAACTCGATGAAAGTTTAAATCATAAAAATAAAGGCCACTGATCATTTTAAGCCTTGGAAACATTCTGGTAATTGACCAGAAGTCGCTTTACTGGAAACATGAAAAATGCACAGTCAGCAAAATTGCGACATTCGAATTTTTCAAATCTGATGATACCATCAAAAAGGCTTGTAACGTGGACGTGACTTCCGGTTCTCCTGCCAGAAGGTTCCCAAAGCTTAATGATTTAAACCTTAAAAATTTCGGTTAGGCTGGTTGCTAGATGGTTATGCAAAATTCCCTGTCTATAAAATCTCTATTCTTTAGATCATGCAGTCAATCTGCAGCGTTAATTATGATTTATTCTTGAGAACATCGCAAGAGTTGATTTCATTTAGTTTTAACATTATTTTTACATTTACATTAGCTTCGCATTAACATTATTTTAGCATTATTTCTTTCTATTGAATGCACCTAAGACTGTAAGTGACTAGAAAAACAATATAAATATAATATGAAAAATCCATTACACAACTGGATTTATTGGTTGTTAAGAGAACCAAAGAAGATGTCCTAAAATTAAAAGTTCAAAAATCCTTCAACTTCATTGTCTTTTCCAGGCATGTCTATAAAACTGGCCCCTTCAGGTTGTACCCTCCACGCCAAAGATTTAAGACTATCAGTTTTGGTACATGTATGTTTTTCGAGTTCTTTTTTAGTTGTTTCCAAAAAAAAAGTTGAGCAAAACAAAGATAAATATTCCATCCAGTGTCCTTAGATTCGCCCTTAAAGTACCAAATGATTCCACAGTTCAAAGAGAATGAATTCTTTATTTTTACCCAAGTGCGAAATTCGTTTGATTTTTTATGCACCTATTCTTTATACATTTTCAATATTAGTAGCTGCAAAGGTTGGTTTTGAAGACTCGGTCAATTTTGTATGTGAGTCGGTTCAACTTTTCGTCACACCTGAAAGCAGAATGGAATATTCGACAATTTCGAAATACTTTGCTTTGTTAATTTTGAAATATGAAATAATTGCAAGATATCATCATGAAATATGAGATAATGCTATCCCCCTTATAGGGCCCCAAAGGTGTAAATTTGGGACACTATTGAACAATGCGTGTAACAAACTCGTTGAAGTTATTGTTTTTGATTGTGTAAATTAACAGAACAATTAGCGTGTCCCTCTGTAAAAACGTATATGAAGGGACATTGTTAATCAATTCTTGTTCTGAAGCCCAACAGACGCATGAAAGTCTCGTCAAGGCAAGTAAAGACAAGCTTGACTTATGTGTAAAAGATTGTGAGTACACCTTTATTGTATATGCGAAATAAGGGCGCATAGAATAATCACACAGATACCGTTGGTATCTGAGGTATTGTAGGCTAAAG